ACACACACACACACACACACACACACACACACACCAACAACAACAACAACAATAACAACAGTCTCCACCACAGCACCAAAACAAACACCATGTAATCACCGGTATGCATCCAGCCCTCAGCGTCCATTGCCTCTTCTGTAGCCTTTGGATTGTTGTGATAGCCCAGCATGACCTGTGGCCCCTTCACACAAACCTCTCCCTCCTGATTGGCTCCCTGGGCTTCATTCGTCCCTGGGTCAGATACCTTGTCAATACACAAGGAAATTTATAAAGGATGTTGTTGTGATATTATTTTTAATGCCCCCCACCCTCTCCATCATGACACTTTAGAACAATTGAAAACAGGCTGCTTTCAACCTGCCTGTCAGATTAACTAACCTGGGCTAAACAGGATGTGACAGAATATATTTCCCTGCAGCAGAATCAAACTCACACTTTTTTAGTACAACAGCATTGAGTTTAACCCCTAAACCACAATGTCTGGTAGGTCATAGTTGTTCACCGATAATCAGGGGGAAAATACAAATAACTACAAGCTATAGAATTTCCCCACTATGTATTAACCAGTTTGAAAATTAGCGGCTTTGTTTTTCATGATTTTTATAGATGAATAAACATGTTAACACTTTAATTCTTATTTTTATCAGAGCTTTGGAAAGAAAAACAAATAATCACTATGAATTCATAGTGTGAAAATGAGATTCTTTTTGTTTTTCATGATTTTTACTGATAAACATGTAAACAAATGAATTCTCACTTTGATTATTGCACTGGGAACTGGACATCCAACGGAATCATCTATAGCATTCTGGGTGATGGAGGCTGCAACCACTTCAGTCATTCCATAACCTTTAATAATCCAGATATAATACTTTCATTAATTTGGTGAATATAAAAATTGTGACAAGAGAATGTGTTGCACTTCACTTCACCAGTGTCATTTCTTATTAAAACAAAAAGTCCTTACTAATTAAGCACTTTAACCTATGCTAATAAGAATGAATGCTTTCCTTCCTAAAACTGAGAAGTGATCGATCTTTAAAAGATTCTGTTCTTACTTTATGAATCCAAAATACGACGTCCCCCTTACAGTTGCATCCTATGAGCATTTTTCAATTGATATAATCCCAGGCCCTGCTTTGATCTTTGGTCTTGTTACTCAAATAGTAGGATTTGAGTTAAGAAAAGCCCATCCCCACAATAACAGTCATTTAGTGTACAGAACAAGTAAGACAAATAGACTGGGGAAATGGAGAGAAAGAAAAGAAGTAAAACCACCAATGGCACTGTCCAACAACTGACTCCAAATAAAAGAAAAGTCCAGCTTCTTGATGAATCTTCAATTACATTCACATGGTTACATCTTAATAATAATAATAATAGATAGCATTTGTATAGCGCATATCCCCGCTCAACAGCAGGCTCTATGCGCTTTACACTATATTATTACCCCAGCAGACCATAGAACACTCCGAAACATTCTCAGCTTCCTGGGAAGCATACAGTGCAAGCAGCCGATTAAGCGCTCAAACACTAACAAACTGACAAGATCTTTCGCTGTCTATAGCCGGGTACCCATTCCCACCTGGGTGAAGTGAGGAAAATTTGTGTAAAGTGTCTTTCCCAAGGACACAACGTCGGGCCCTTGACGGGATTCGAACCCACGACCTTACGGTTGCGAGTCCGAGAGCCTTCACAAACATTACTGAATTTTCTTGTTTAATGATTTTTTTAAAGCATGACTACTCCAACACAAAAATAGAATGAACATACCTCAAAGAAATTTTATAGGAAGTTAAGTTATAATTTAAAATTCGATGAATAAAAAGTTGGGATGTTGTGACTCAAAGTGAAGTTAAAAGGAAAAAATTGTGCAAAAGCATTGACAACATCATGTACAAAGAAAAATGTATTAAAACACAACACTAATAATGCATGAGCAAAACTTGATAAGGAGAGGTGGAACAAAAACTGAGTTTTGAATCACCTCTCATTTGCCCTTCCTGAAGTGCTCAATGCGCTTTTTTCAAAAGCAATCATATTTCGAGCCTTTTGAGAGAATCTACTGGGATTTGGCAAGTGGATTATAAGCTGATTTTAAAGGTTTTATGCACTAATCGACACAATTGAGATCATTTAGGGGATGGGCCTATTCATCCATGCTAGTCAGAACTGACTGAGCCAAGTGGGAAATGGGGAAATAATATATTCCCGCAGATGCATGAGTGATTAAATAACTTACCTTGTATGAATGTAATGTGAGGATATTTGCTGGAAAACGTTTGTATTAACTCATGTCCAAGTGGGGCAGCACCAGACATAATGCGTTTGACCGATGAAAGGTCATAGCCAGCTGCTGCAGGATGCTTTGCCAAGAACAATACAAGGGGTGGAACTAGAGGTGCCATGGTGATCTGAGGATAATGGTTGGTTGGTTGGTTGGTTGGTTGGTTGGTTGGTTAGTTGGTTGGTTGGTTGGTTGGTTGGTTGGTTGGTTGGTTGGTTGGTTGGTTGGTTGGTCAGCCAACCGGTCCACCGGTCTCAAAGTGTCTGTTGGTCAGTTTGCCAGTTGGCTGGAAAGTCAGTCAGCCAATTGGTCGATCAATAGATTAATTGATGGGCCAGATTATAAGCAGGTTTGTTGATAGAAGAAGCCACTCATAGGAAAAAAGATGGTTGGACTGATGGATTTTATAGTTATTTGGCTGACCAATTGGATTTTTTAGGTGAGAGCACTATTTGGTTTGTTGATTGGACAGTGGCTGGTTCACATACTGGTTTGCTTGTTGGCTCATTGCGCCTTTAAGTTTTCCAGTTTTAGTAAGAGTTTTAAGCCACTTGCAACACAATAATGGCATTTGTGTCACGATGCGGAGGAATAGGCACTCGACAGTTTTTGGACCTGTTACGTTATTAGTATAATCTGAAAGCTGCCATGCTTTCTATGAAAAAAACCCATCTATCTTAAATAGAAGTCAAGCTATTTGCAACCGAAGGAGGTGGGGTCAATGGTAAAATTAGCGAGGAAACGGCCGTTAAAGTTCAGTAACTTCAATTTTTTTAGAGTCCTTGAAAACTGAAAAATTATATATTTTGTGCATTCAATCAATATTTTTCAGTAAAATTCACATGGAAATGTCTTTTTAGATAGACATGAAAGAGGTTGAGCCCCAAAAAATTTAATTAATATACCAAACTGGTGGAAAAATGCCCGTTTCTTTGATTTCATTATTTTGACGAGCACCTGATTTCACCACAATGCCTTACATGTAAGTACAGAAGATTTTAGGTGTTACAACAGAGTAACAAACACAAAGGAGAAAAAAAGGAGAGTGATAAGGATGATAGACGATTGATTGGAAAGAAGGAGCAAACCATACCAGAAGACCCGCCAACCTTCAAGTTGGTTGTATGTACACTTTTACATGATATGTTTGATGCTAATAAGCAACTGAACTCATTTTAAGAAATTAATCAAACTTTGCTATGAAATATCTGGCCCCTCCCCACTCCCCCCCCAAAAAAAACAAAAAAAAAAACACGCCTGTCACTACATGCTGATATCAAGCAGAAAGAATGATGCCCTTAAATATTATGCAGAAATACCCGGACCGCAACATTTTTAAAAAATGAAGAAAAATTTTAATCGGTGCATAGTTGGAGAAAACAATAATATGCAAAAAAGGAAAGGGTTTCATCTTCAACTCAGACTTTACTTTGCTCCTCTGTAAAACAATTTTTTTATTCAATTAAATAATCTTAACAAGTCTATGCATAATTTGATGCAATTACACTTGTAATTAATTAAGTCTTTTTACAAAGATAAATTCCCCAACTTTATAGAATATGTAAAAGAATGTTACGTAATGTATTTGACTCAACGGGGCAAAATGTCTAGGGTTGATAAAACTCAAATAAAGCAACAAGATAACAATGACTTTAAAAAGTTATTATAGGATTGGACAAATTGCACGATGGAAATAGATTGAATTGACGCGTTTTAACCTTTTCACTTCCCGGCTGCTTTACAACTTACCGAAGAACCGAAGACAGTCTCGGACAAAGCAGAGAAAGGGTCCATGACCCGAAGAAATGTAACTTGCTTCAAGGGATTTAAAACAATCTTTTTAAAAATCAGAACTGGCATTTTTTTAAAAAAGTTTATTGCCAAACCTTTATATAAAAGCAAGTAACGTTTCATACCATCTCGCCCGAGTAGTGGTCTCAAGCTGTTATATTTACTATGCTCATGCTGCGCATCCCAAGCTGCCTTTGTCGAGAGGTTACGATGTTCGCCTCTCATACAATTAAGGTCCCGGGTTCGAAACCGCACAGCGACGAAACATTTTCTTCTCCATTTGTTTTTGTTTTTCATTCACCACATTTTCTGCTCTCTAATCGTGTTCTGTCAT